CTCTCGCTCTCCCCTTCTTTCTATCTTCTGCTCTCTCTCACTCACTCTCTTCCTATTTCCTTCTCTCTCTTCCTTTCTCTCTCTCTTTCTCTCTCCCTCTCTTTCTCTCTCTCTCTCTGGAAATGTCTGCCTCTATGCAATTTTAGTTTCTCCACGTCGCTGTTTCTGTGCTAAACATCATTGAATATTTCTCAAAGAACATGAAACTGCATGGAACCTGAATAAATTCCAACTGCTCAGCAATCAAGCAATATTGAATAAGAGTTTCTGCTGCTTATTGTTGATGTGGCCAAACGAAAATCAATTGTCCAAGTAGGCAGCAGAGCCTCAGCCTGCTCGATGGCCGAGTCAAGTCCCAGGCAGGTCGTTACATGCAGACAAAGAGGAAATGTGCAAAAAGTTGTCAGGCCGATGGGATGGGAGGGGGGAATTGAAAGGATCAAGCGGAGTCAATACAATAAATTGCATAGAAGCTAAACGCAAATTGTTGTGGCTGAATGTGATGCGTGGGCAAAGTTTTGTGCTTTGTCTTGGCAAGCTTGGGCATTGTCTTAGCCGAATTCCTGCTGGCAATATGTGGTTCTATTATGAAGATTAATAATGTGGGGCAGAGGCCACGGGACAACGGACGAGCTGCCCAGCTGCCCAGTTGCCCAGTTGATGCGATTTTAATGAGTTGGGCGAGCTGAGAGATTCGCGAACCGCAGCAGCAATTAAAGGACATCAATTAATATTAAATATTTCAACGGCAATTAAATGAAATAACTCGCAGTCAACATCAAGCCGGCCACAAAATGGCCGTCCAGAAGACAGTCCGAGTGTAAAACTTTGTCGGTATTCCAAATGAAATTTTCATTAACCAAAGAAACCAAAGTGATTTGGCAGTTTACTCCCCCCCTCCCGCTCTCACCACCTCACTCTCCCACTCACTCTTTGTCCAACTGCTGGCAAGTTTTCAAGTGAAAAGTTTTCGACTTGCGCCAACTGGACACATGTTACAAAATTCGCAAATAAATTTCTGACTACGCGAAAGTTTTCACGCATTCGAAATGCAAATGAAATGCGCGCGATTGTTGACAAGCCAACCAGCGCTCGCGTTCGGGGGCAAAGTTGGAGTCGAGTCGAACAAAGTTGAACCGCGGCTGCATTTCTTATGAGCAGCCAAATGAAAATATTTCAAAAAGCATTTCAATTTCGCCAGCTATATACGTAATTGAAATTTGCATTTCTATGAGCCTTGCATACGAAAAGCGAAAAAACAAAGCCCAACCGAACGACCAACCGACCAAAAAAAACACTGAACTTTGCCCAACTAAGACAAGCAGAAACGAACTTTACCAAAGCTAACTGCCTGGCCTAAAACACCAAAGCCAAAGCCAAAGAAAAAAAACAACCGCATAAAAACAAAAGGAAAAAAACAATTAGGCGCCACGTCGCGGAATTTTGATTGAGAATTTTCACACCCCACAGAAATCGACAGACAGCTCCCCATTGCTGGTCGATTCCAGAGACTTATCGAATAATAACTCCAGCTAATGTAACCAGAGCATATACTTATTACACATACATATATATTATCTTATTGTCTCTCTATATATGCACCCTTCAATCGACAGTCTGCCAGAGTTTAAACTCGGAATACCTTCATTTCGGCAGACTGCAAAGAATGCTAAAAACTTCCTCAGCTCAAAAAAAAGCAACAACTTTACGGGCATTACCTAGGGTCTGTACTGACTACGGAATACCCTAGCGAAGAATCAAAAAGAGGAGCTCACATTTTAAAGATCTATTTATAGAGGCACTCATAGCTGATCCAAATAGAAGACTGGGCTATCGGACCTCTACGACTCGAAGATATTCAAAAAATTGATCCCATTGATCTCATTGACGCCATTGATCCTATTGATCCCATTAACCCCAATGATCCCAATGTTCCCATTGACCCCCATGATCCCATTTATTCTATTGATCCCATTGATCTCATTGATCCCAATGATCCCATTGATCCCATTGATCCCATTGATCCCATTGATCCCATTGATCCTATTCATCCCATTGACCCCCTTCATCACATTGATCGTATTGATCCCATTGATCCCATTGATCCCATCCATCCTACTGATTCTATTCATCATTGGCGTAGGATTTTTGATCAGTATATCGATGAGTATCGATTAACATATCAACAACTAAAAAAGTGTAAAGGAGAGTTTCATTCCGACTTCCAGCCTTCTTTAATGGCTTTCTAGTTATGTCTGGATGTCACTCTAGCTAGGTATCGTTAGCCTAATTGCTGGGTATCGATAGTTAACCATAGTGCTATCATCTCTAATTTATATTAGTCTACTAGATGATTACATATCCCTTTACACATTTTTTATGCAACCATCATTACCCAATATACCAATATGCCCCTCTCACGGTGTTTACGGGCGTGGAAAATACGTAAAAGAACTTTTTGCCAGCCAAACAACGTGAAAGACCGCAAATTGTTTTAAACCAGACCGAAGGCCGCACATACTCGCGAGCAGAGCAAAGAAACAACAACAACAAACACAAAGACGTATAAAAAGAGTAAAGGCGAAGCAAATATTAGTATTTGTGAAAGGCGGCAGCCTTGCGAACGCGGCATGCCCCAACTGCTGTATAAATATATTCAAGCGAGTCAGTGGCCAACGCTAAACAGGCCAGGCATTGTAGCGCATTCTTGACCAAGTCGGCAAAACCGTAAATTTTATTGCATGACTTGATTAAATTCGCATGCAACCCTCAGACGTCAAACCCTGCTAGACCTGGCTCCCAGCCGGCCGGGTCAGTCAATTCAAAACAAGTCGGTGTGATGCAGTCCCAGATTGACCGACTAGCAGTTACCCAGCTTACAGACTGATTAAAGCAGCTTTGGGCGTGGCATCTGAATTTTAAACCACAATTTTATATTGATCATAACTGATTCATTGGAAGTGGAAAAAGCTCTCTTCTTTCTCTACATACCTCTTATACTTAGCGATATCGAAGTATGTTCCCAGATGTGGGAAGAGACTTTTAGATACGGACAGGTGACTGATGAAGGGACAAATGGATTGATAGGTGAATGAACTGGAAGAGGGCAAGACAGCTGAACAGAGGGAGTAGAGAGGGATGAATGAAATGACGGCCGGAGAGGCAACTGAATGGGAGGATAAACTAACAGAGGAACGGACAGAGACGGGCGAACGGATAAACAGATAAAAGATGGATGGACGAATCATACAAGACAGAAAGACAAGAGTTAATTAACTAGATCAATGGAAGAATCCTATGGAAGAACTTATAGGTCTGCTGATAAAACCTAGTTGATAAATCAGATAAAAGATTACTGATCCATTGATCATAAGAAAGTTATAGATGCTTCCTCTGTGGTATCTGCTGCACCTCCTCCTGACTGACTCCTGCCTGTTGCATAAATTACAAAGTGAAACCACATACCCCATTCACGCTCTTCCTATGAGTATTTGGGGTATAAAAATGAAAGCAAAAGAGGAGAGAAAAACACAATTTCTGGCTTTTTTTCTTGGCAATTTTCCCAGTTTAACGTTTTAACGAAACTTAATGAACTTTCAGTGTCACAGCGAAAAGGGAATGAAAGGAGTCGAGACCTCGCACTCCGCCTACACCGCGCTCTGCTCTCCTCACCCCGCCTACTCCCCGGCTCAGTTGATGTTATGATGGATATTGTGCAAGGCGAAAAGTAATTTTGAACTTTCTTAAATAATCTTTGTGTGTTGAAGCTATTATGAGTAACAAGTTTTCATAATTTTTTTATATTTTTTTATTTTTTGTGTGTTGATTTTGCCGGGGACAAGCGAAGCGTCCTCCAGCTGCATTTAGTACGAATCGTTGCTTTAATATGCCTCACAAGACTTGAAAGCATTTCAAGTAATTAGAGGAAACAAATAGAGGAGCTGCAAGTGCCACGCTGCACGACTAGGCGATGCTCTGTAAATGTCGTTGCTGAATAAATATTTGATGGCCGAGATCCAGGAATACGTGTAGAGCGAGTGCCTCTCGCCTCGACTTGGGAGACTCTCTTGAAAAATGTGCTGGGGACGCAGTATGTCTGGGTAGTGAGTGGTCTTAGGGCTTTTTGCTGCGACGCTGTGCGAAATTTAACGAAGCTTAACCTCGTTCAATGGAAAAAATCCACTTTACGTACACTTTGCGCTGTCATTTCGTGCGCAGCTCAAGCAGCAATTGTGCAAATACTTTGAACCAACAGAAGGAGTTTGGTAAGTGGTTGAGTCGACTGCGAGCGGGTGGCGAACTTTTGCCAACTTAAAAATGCAAGCAAGAATGATGAATGAGCTGCAGGTAGTCCGCCTCGCTGCGAGCCACCCACGCCACGCCCCACGCCCCACTCAAACACCCAAACACCCAAATGCCCAAGAGCACACAGAGTGCTCGCCTGTCAAAATGTAGAGTGAGATATTATACTGATTTCTTTTGGGCCAGAGCTCTTCTCGGGCTGACTGCGAATTATGCAAGAAATCTGAAACAGCCAAGTCCGAAACGGAAAGTTGCGGAAGTCTTTGGTTTCACGTGACCATATGAAGAAGTGCAGCTGCAGCTGCAGCTCGAAAAAGGCTATGTGTGTGTGTGTGTGTGTGTGTGTGTGTGAGTGCCTAGACACAGATTGAAAACCTAACCACAAATGCCGGCGGGCGAGCCATTGACAGCGGGCAGCCCAACCACAAGCGTGAAATTCGATGCAGTTGTCGGCGGATCGATTAAGCTCTAGACAGGGGCAAGGACGTTGGCTTAAGAGTGAAAGTGAATGTAATTAATCACAGATAGAAAGAGATGGAAAGAGATACAGATGAGAGAGAGAGAGAGAGAGAGAGAGAGAGAGAGAGGGAGAGGGAGACAGACAATGAACTTGACTTTGAGTGCATTGACCTAACGCAACTCTATCGTACACATATCGTATTACCCATGCGTAGGGCTGGCTATATAAGCCTCGCTGCCTGCAGTCAATGCCACACTTGACGGCGACTATCAACAACGTCAGCAACGTCTTCGACTGCTTGGGCCAGCTGGGGAAGAGCCATGAAGCTAAGCAACGCAAACATTCCATTAATGATCCATGAGCTACGCAGGCCTGCGGCCCAGCTGCTGCCTCTGCTGCTATTGCTATCCATAACAATGAGCGCGACGACGGCGATAATGGAGCTGCCAATGAGTGAGCTGCCGCTGGGCACGCCCCTGCGCCAGCAGCACGGCCAAAGCAATTACCACGAGCCGGGCGCTGAGGCGCTACCAGGATTAGCTGGATATGGGACGAGTGCACGACATTATTACGGGGCAGCCAGTGCAGCGGGCTTTGGCGATGGCGATGGCCAAGGTGACTTGGCACCAACAGCATATGCAAATTATGAACGAAAAGCCATCAGTGGTCTGGCTGGCATCGCCCATGGCTTTGTGCCACACAGCTACAGCTACAGCAACAACAACAACAATGGAATGCAGTCGGGATACTTGGATCGGGGCAAAATCGATTTTGTCATTAATGCGGCAAATTATGAGTTGACTGCCAATGAAGAGCAACACCAGCAGCAGCAACACCAACAGCAGCAGCAGCAGCTCCAGCCTGACGTCTACTATCAGAGCTATGCGTATCAGCCGCGGGCATCGCAGCCCAACAACGATTATCATATTGAGCAATTTTCCAATTATCGCCATCCCGCCTCCAGCAGGGAGCAGCAGCAACAACAGCAACAGCAGCAGCAGCAGCGACAACAGCAGCAGCAGCAGCAGCAACATCAGCAAATCACCAACGACAACGCCTTGGCTTATGCCAACAGGCAGTCGCCCATGAAGCGGAAGCAGCTGCAGCAGGAGGAGCCCTCACACTCAGCCAGACCCTCATCCTCACAGCTGCACCAGGAGGATCAGCAGCTGCTCTACTCTCAGGCGGAGCAACACATTGTCGACATGCCCCACCCCAACGCGCTGCCTCCGATCACAACGACGGTGCATCACACGCCCTCGAGCAGCAGAGCCATCGCCGGGCTGCCGCTCTCCAAGCACATCGAGGTCACGAAGCACGTGCCCATCACGCACTACCAGCAGATCCACGTGCCCTACAAGCAGCCGCTGCAGCTGCGCATACCTCGGCCCGTGATCACAGCCATTCCGAAGCCGATTCCCATCCGCATACCCGTCACCAAGGCCGTGGCCGTGCCCCAGCTGCAGGAGGTGAAAATACCCGTCGAGAAGGTCCGGCCCGTGCCGGTCGAGCGACCCGTTCCGTATGTCGTCGAGCGCCAAGTGCCCTACCGGGTGGAGAAGCCCATCGCCACGCCCATCTTCTACCCGTACCCGGTCAAGGTGCCCGTCATACGCACCGTGGTCCACAAGCAGCGCCCCCAATACACCATCACCGCCCAGCCCCTGACCCCACTCGCTGGCTGGCAGTCGCCCAATCATCTACTGGGATAAGTCCAGCGAAAATTATAATGTTTACCAGAGCTCCTCTCTTATAGATGCATACTTGATATGTTCGTTTCATCTTTGATAATATATTTGATATAGACAGAAACTGACAAGTAAGAAAACGCCAATCGGGCTGGCCGACTAACAGATACCCTGACCCCGAAAATCTAACTAGAATCAAACATAAAACCAACTGCGGAGACTGTAGACCCAAAGAAATAGTAGACATAGTTTAACAACTACATTGCGGTAATGTTCTTATCAATAACATAAGATTAACATTCGAACAACAACAGTGTTTTCAGTATTGATAAACAAACTCAATTTGAATTAATATATCGCTCCTATTTCTGGGGGGAAATGTGGGAAGAAAAATCCATCCACTAGAGATTCAAGGGTATCTGGCTAGTCGAGACTGTCGGTCGACTCTAGCACTCCTCACTGGTCTCGTGTGGCTTTGGGTTGTCCTGGTTGCTGCCAAGACACAGGCTTTTAGCCCGTGGGCGTGTGGAGCTGAATAATTGCAATTAGAGCCACAGAGGAGTGTAAAACTGCAAAAGCAACTCACAAACTTGGCTGAGCGTGGCCAAAACAAGACATTCCGAGACGGAGTCACAGTCAGAGTTGCAGCTGGAATCGCAGCCGGAGTTCAAGTCGGAGTCAGAGTCAGAGGGCAAGCTACAAGATGAAGAAAAGTAGCCAAGGAAAACTTTTTAATTGAGCTAAGATCCAACAAATGCGGCTAATAAATATGTATTGAAGTGCGCCATAGCTGGCAAGGGGGTAACGGGGTAACGGGGCAGCGGGGCAACGGGGCATAGGGCCAATGCAATGCAAAAGGGTCCAAATGCTTGCAGAATGCAGCTGCTAATTGCCAAATGTAACTTCAACAGCAACAGCAGCAACACCAACAACAACACCAACACTAACAACAACAACCATGGGCAACGGCAACAAATGTTCAAGTCGAGCTGAGCGCGTTAGCGAAACAGCAACAAAAATTAGCCGAAAAGTAAAGTCTTGAGTCAGCGAGCGCTTGAGGCGGTGCCTGATGAAATTCGCTGCGAGTTATTGCCAACTAATGAAATTAACACTAATTGACTCGGAAGTCCAATGCCAACGCTGCCACGCCTCCTGCGCCAGCTGCCATTGCAGCATATTTGAGCATGAGAGATTACTTCGTATCCATTTATTTATTTATTAAGCTATGTAAGCATTTAAAAACAATACAAACTGAACTTCAGACTTTAAAGTGAGAAGAACTTCATATGAGTAGAAGAGAGCTGGGCAAATGGGATTGCCCACTTGAGACTTAAGACTGATTCGCTTTAATGCTCTAATCAATGGACTCCTGAGAGACTCCCACTAAAAATGTCAAATCGAGCCTGAAGTATCTATTGGGCAGCCGTATTTCTAGGAAAGCGGGAGGCTGCTGGGCCCGCCCCCATTATATTTTAGTAACCATAAATTCACTAAGCGACATTTGAAACTTTAGTCGGAAAATTTAAGCAAATTGAATGTTGAGGCGAGCTCTCAATTCTGTTAATTTGTAGCCCCAACGATGGCTTCCGAGTAAACAGGGCGTACGCCTACTCTGAAAGAGAGAGAGAGAGAGAGAGTGATAGAGTGAGAGAGAGAGGAAAGCTGAGTGGCTGTTACGATGAAAGGATACTCAAATTATGCACGGCCTGATAAGCCCACACATTGAATAGGCCTAGCAGAAACTCGAAGGGGGGAGAGGATGCCGAGGTCTAAAGAATCGGATAGCAGTGCGCAAACTTAGCTTGAGTATGGGAATAGAAGAGAATTTTAGTCAAAAGTGAGGTGAAAATGTTTAGCCAAGCTTTAATAGTGTTTATAGTCAGAGTGAAGCAAGTAGCTCTGCTCTGGCTGGCAGTTTCTATTCACTGTCTCTCTCTCCCTCTCACTCACACTCTCATTGTGCAATACACGTTTCGCATAGCTCACATTACTAGAAGTTCATTTATTTCAGCATGCATGTAGATAAATAATAAGCTGTCAGAGAGATGTCAACAGGTCTGCAGTTGTTGCTCGGTTGGCAGCAGTTGCTTTTCTTTTAATTGTCGGTTTGGCATTGCTGCAGCTGAGACTCTGTTTGAGTTTTCTTTCTGTTTTTGCCGTTGTCGCTCATTACGCTCGCTTACCTCTGCTTGGCCACCTCGAACAATGACAAAAGTTTGAAATATGAGTGCTTCATTGTCTGTCGGTCTCTCCTTCTGTCTGACTGCTCGGGCTGACGCTGTTTCCCCGCATCCTGTGGGTCATTGCAGGCCACTCCTGTGTTTGTCAATCAGCTAACATCAGCCCGAGATCTGTGCTAATGTGTGATGAAGTATTTCAAAATGAGCTCCGATTTGCTTGCCAGCCCTTAGTGAAATGACAGACTACATTCCTAAAGTTGGCATTAATTGAAAGCTATTCAAAGTGAGCTGTTGATATCTGATACCCTAGGCGTACATAGTGAAAATGGTTCAGTAGGGTACATTGGTTATCTTGAAATACTCATTATAGGCAGCGGAAAATTGAGTGGGTGAAGAAGAGTTGACTTATTGAGGGCCGCTATTCGATGCAGCTCTGTTCAGGGCATTTCGGTTCCTAGGGAGTCTCTTTAGCAGCGCGAATGATTATCGATTAATTTTAAGCTTGCCTTAAAACCGATTTTAATCGATATCCAATTCCTACATTGTGAGCATATGTCTTAGCTTGCCCTTGGACTCTCTTTAGCTTCATCTATGCAAGAATTTCTTATACAAATTTATATGAAATTGAGAACTTTAGGATATTTCCTAGTCAGCCATTTTGTGTTTCATTGCAATTGCAGGGTATGTACTAGTCAGTCATTCTCCTCAGCAGTCATTCACCCCTAGTTGTTGTAGCTGCATTCCCTAATTATGCCTCTTAACTGCGATTGCAGGGTGTATCTTAGTCGATCATCCCCCCACCCATAGCACCCTTACCTGTTGCACCTGTGCTTTGTGTTTAAGCATCTTAATTGCAACCTTTAATTGCAATTACACGCTCGACTGTTTGTTTGCTTATGCTCAAAGTTTGAAGCGCAACTAAAAAGCTTTCAAAATGTTCTCCCCCTTCCCTCGCAGCTCCCCTCTGCCTGCTCGGCTACAGCAAAGACGCCTGATTTTATTAGTGGACATAAATCCTTTGATGCCCCTGCTTTTCGTGCTCCTGCTCACGGACTGTGAGGGCAAGGAGTGTGTAAATAGTAGTTTATGATAAGCACTAGATATAATAATAGCTGCACTTTAAGCATGTGCTGGCCGAGGTCTATGCTGGGCGAGCGACGCGTAAAACGCTCAAACATGAAATATCACTCATACGCCACCGACGGCATAAAGTGTGAAAAGTTGTTGCGCCACAAGCGCACCAATTAAACCCAGTAACGGGCGTTAAACACTAAGTAAAGCCGCTCCCTGTTAACGGCCAAAACAAAAAATTACAACCACCTGAGTCAACGTTTTATGTCCTTCATAAATTTGAAAAACCGAAAAACTCTAAAAGGGTCCCGCCAAATGGGTTAAAAGTTTTCAAAGCTATGCTCTAGCAGAGAGTCAGCCATTGCTCTCCTTATCTTCCCCCTCTCTCTCTCATCCTCTCTCTCTCTCTAGTCTGACTGTCATTTTTCTCTCTCTCAAAAAAAGAAGACATTTCCTTTTGTCGCCCCAAACTTTTGGGGGGGACTTTGGCCATTTAACCCTTTCAGGTTGTTGCTTTCTTGTTCGCAGAAATTATCAAAAGTTTTGAGTTGGAAGTGCTGATTAATTTTTAATGTTTATGTTTAGCCGACCGCTGCCCGCATTGCTCCTGCTGGTGCTGCTGCTCCTGCTGGTATACGCCAAGTCATTTGCCACATTATAATGTCATTTTGATGGCTCGGCCAGGAGGCCTGCTGCGCCCTGTTCGAAGACATCAAGCTTCCGATATCTTGGCTAAAGCTGCGAGGGTTGTCTAAGAAGTATGTGGTCTGATGAAGAATAAATGCTATCATACACTTCTATTTCACAGTGTAGGCTGATTGTAAGATGAAGAACTTTTCAACAGCTAGATAGATAAATAGGCAGATAGGCGACTTAATACATACATAGCTTTTATCTGGACTTCCTACATTGTAAAATCTATAAGTAATCTGAATATCTTACTTCACATTTCAGACAGGAGACTCTAGTAAATAATTCCTATAGTGTCAGCCACGCTTCTCTTTTATAGAGCCAACTTTATGGCACTTGGCCAATGAAATAAAGAAGTTGTTCTTTTTCCTTTGGCTACTCGAGCACATGGGGCGTATGCGTGATAAATGAATTGTAAAAAGAGCAAGCGCTACTTCACACATGCACACACACACACATACACACATGTATATGCATGTGCGTTGCATAAGTAGATTCACGCGCTTGCCAGCTCTGTCATTCGGAATTCGGCATCCAGTGGACATCAACTGAACCAGCCTCATCAGGAGCGAGGTGGGTTTGTCAATTTGACCGCGTGTGCATGTTCATTGCGATTTGCGGCTTTCGCATTTACGTTCGCTCGCTGGGCCCGGTCCAGCTGTCAAACTAGCCGCAGTATTCTTAACGAAGTGGTTTTGCGGCTGCTGCAATTATGAATTTATGCGCCCTGTCACAAACATTCACATATATGTTATACACATATACATATATATATGTATTGGATTACTTCATATGGAACTCTATACGCAGCGGAAGTTCACAAACCACACAATTGTTTGTGTGTCAATTTGACTGATTATGGCCACGAAATTAAAATTACTTTAATTTGCCATTTCTCTTTTTGGCTAGCTATGCTGCTTTAAAATGGGCGTAAATGGCCTTTACACATATGTATGTATGTATATGCCTATATGGGGTTTATGTGACTTGATCTTGACAGTTCGACTAGTCTATATAATATGAGACTAGTCTATATAATATGAATTCCATATGACTAGGCTATGTCAAGATATCGCCCTACTCATGGTTTGGATTTTGCAACTGATAAGAGCAAATACCTTCAGTATATCAAACATTTTTGGTATTTCATACAGATTTTCATTTAGGTTGGGCACATTACTCGGGCTTTTTATTCAGATCCTTGTCAAACATACTTAAATTATAGCCAACCCAATTTTTGGTTAATTTATCGCGCATACGCCGCGTGTGCCAAAGAAGCCCTACAGTCGACTACTTTATAGCATTGGCAAAGCGCCATCAAGTTGGCTATATTATAGAGTTGGCTATATTAGAGAAAAACATGTCAGTGCATGACCCTAGATACGGGAGCAGTTTACTAAATTATCCTGTCTATTATCTCTATAGATGAATATATGAATGATTATGTAGGCTTAACAATGCATGAAGTATGATTGCCTTAGACTCTTTAATATTTATATATATAAAAGTATATCTGTATTAACACTTCCGTATTCTACCGCGCCTCCTCCTCATGCCTATTACCGTTACCATTACACTCCCACAAAAAACAATACACCCCATTTAGCCATTTGCAGAAGTACCATGAAAAGTCTCAGACATTTACCATTTTCTGAGTCGATTCAGAGACATTTATATTCGTTTTTCTATTGCGCACACAAATGAAAATTTACGCGGCAGCCAGCTGGTAATTGGTAACTTATTTAGGCCATTTGTATTCGGCAATGGGCTTTAGAGTTAGTCAGGTATGCGGGCAATACATAAATCATTTTATCCAACGGCTGATATAATCCGCACATATGTACTTCACTTAAGTAAGTAACTCCTGTCCCTGCTCTGAGTGGGGCTGGGGTGGGTCTGTCTGCACGTCGACACGAGGCTGCTTGAGGTTGCCTCAGCACGTGCCGGTACATGTGTGCCGCAGTTAAGATAGCCAAAAGCCCCAAAAACCCCAAAAAGAAATCCTATCACATCGCGAAAAGCGATGCAGCGATCAACCGCACAAGAGACGGCCCCAAATTGTGGGCACATCAAGACGTAAGCAGCTTGAGATGGTATATCCCATTGAGTCGTGCCCATTGCAAAATGTGTGAAGAGGGTATAATGTTTGTGGCGGAGTGTTTGGGACAGGCAGAGGGAGTGGGTGAGGGCGAAAAGCATAGACAATATTTATAGTATATATATTGTCTCTTAGAGACAAGTTTAAATGTACACTACGCCGTCTAATCATGTAGTAAACTCTGTGAACTCGTAAACTACAAAAGCTACAGAGTTTTATCTCGAATTATACAATTTTGTGTACCACATACTATATAAAGTTTTAATTTTTCTTTAATTTCTCAACCCATTTCCATTATAATGATAAATACGGTTATTTACAATTGTTTTTTTTTTCGCCTATTTCAAAAACTGTATTATTAATAAGTGCCAAGTTGAGTATATAAAGTCGAGTAGTATATACCAAGATTATAAATATTTCCTTTTTTAATATCTTTAAACTAATTCCATAAAATAGATAAATATAGCATAATTTAAATATTAATGGCTTCCACACACATTTTTCTCTTATATGCATGGTCTATAAATTTCAATACAGTCATACATCTAGAGCCCAAGTTCCATCAGTCTATTTCCCATAGTAGGTAGCTACACGAAGCACCAGCCCAGCAGCTGTACATGTATGTGTGCTTTGTATGTTTATATACTCATGAGCTGGATCTACTTATCCTGCAGGATATCTACAAAGCGTGCCAGCTGCAACTAGAGCCTATTGCGAGTGGGTTCAATGTACAGCCACACACTTGGCTAGGCGCAGAGTAGGGTCTAATAGCCGTATGCGTTCCCCAATCAATAAAATGCAAATTAAATTGAATAAACACCAATTTCGTATGAATTCAAGAGTGGAATATTAACAAAAACTGAATGCGTGCTTGAATAAGCGGACATGTGGGTGCAAGTGTATGTGTGTGTGCGTGGGTGTATCTAGATGTGTGTGTGTGTGTGTGTGTGTTTCATTAGAGTGCTGTGCGTGCTTCACTCATTTTCATTATGCGAAAAAATCAAATTCTGAAAAGTTGCGCTTAAAATATTTCCACATACGATAAAATAACTCGCCCAGTGTCTAGAATTTGGAAAGCAGGCGTACAACTTTCATTACGTAAAAGTTTTTTAATAAAAGTACAAAGCATAGTGGCTGCATATAGAACGCACACACACACAAACACACACACACACTCATATGCACATACGGGCAGACATTATTAAAAGCAACTGTTTTGTATCCCACTGAATGTGCTTTATAATTGTATTTAGAATGTGGGAATTTTCGTTGTGTTCGGTCAACTTTGAATTGAAATAAATTTTATTTTCATATCTCATCCTCTCTCTCTCTCTCTCTCCTTCTGCCTCTCTCGCTCTTGTTGTCGCTCTCCTTTGTGTTGATGCAAAAACGAATTAAAATTTTGTGGCTCATAGCAAAGTATTAATGTGTTTATGGATATCAACTTATTATTATTATTATTATAAAGTTTCTGGTTTAATTTTCAAAGTAAACAAGGTTAGCAAAACCCGAAATGCATTTGCCTGCAGCATGAATCGCAATGGAGCACGCTCTGTCTCTCTCTCGCTCTGTCACGCACAGCAAATAAATAGAGTTTATTTCTAATCTGTTTTAGTTAACAAATTCCACCTGAGGCCTATTAGATTATCTATCTAGGCTACGAGGCCAGCTAGATTTTGCGACTGTCCATAAATATGTTAACATCAATTCATATTGGAATAGAGAGCAGAGTGAGAGGGAAAGTGGCAAACGGGCATATGCAGCTGTATAATTGTATTCAATTATCGATATTCATTGAAACTACTCGGTGATTGGAAAGCTCTATAGTTCTCTGGAATTGCTGTGAAGCCAACTGCACAATACTCGTTGAAGGTAAAGAATGAATGCATTAACATATCGATATTTATCGATTCCTAACGAGTGTAGAGAAGAATCTTTACAACACAGGTGAGTGAGAGGGTTAGTAAAATGTGGGATTCTAGACTTGAAGGATTTTGTGCAGTATAAATGAATAGCCATTCATTCCAGTATCGATATTTTGTGATAAACTCAAGAAAGAATATATGTATATAAGGCAACATTTTAGGTAAGAAGGACCCACAAGAGTATGTACGCAGGTGGCTATCAAATTTAAACTTTCAGCCACAAAACCTCATTAAAGATGCACTAATACTATAGCAAACCAATATACCCATTTCACTTACCTGAACGAGCATGCAGCCCTAACTGCAAATGAGGCAAGGCAGGAAGAATTAAGTGTCATTAGACTGCGTTTGCTCATCAGCTGCAACTAACGAAATTATAAGGAGGACTGTGAACTATGGCATGGCGGAGCCATGAATTCCGCTTTAAAATAATTGAAATATAAATCTTAATATTTAATATTTGATGAGGCGACTTCAATATGCCGCTGTGCGAATGCATTAAGGTGGAGTCATTTCTATTCACAGTGGAGCAGAGCGGAAGCGCGAGGCCAAGAGTTATCAGCCAGATATTAAGTGTAGACAGCAGACCGAGAGAGAGAGAGAGAGAGAGTGAGTGAGAGAGGGAATAGAGCGAGGGCAGGACATATACTTTGTATGCAAAATAAAGTGCTTCAAAAGTCAGTTAAAGTGTGTCGCGCTGGCTGAAGCCGCCCAGCATAAAGAGCGTAAAAAATGCTAAATGATAAATAAAATTTACAACCGCAACAACAAGAGCGACATTGGCAGCAGCAACAGCAGCAGTGGCGACGACGGCAGCGGCAGAGCAGCAGCGCCGACAGCGACATGCGAGGAAGCGACAATGATATGGGAAATGGGGGTGGGTTTTGCACTGCCTGCATGACCAGCATATGGTGTGAGCGGGATAGCAGTGTTTGCATACATGCCCAACATATGGTGTGAGCGAGAGAGGGAGCATGTCTTTTTTTTCTTCTTTGTATTTTGCTGTGCTTGCTTTTGTTGTTGCTGGCGACATAATAAAATGCAATTTAGACATCAAAAATACAGTAAATAGAGCAAGCAAGCAGAGGGCGAAGAGGGGCGGGAGTGTGGGAGAGTAAGCAAGACAGACTGAGAGACAGAGAGACAGACAGCCAGGCAGGCAGGCACATGACTGACAAGCGGCTGGCAAAGGCAAACGACGACCACACACACCATACAGACACATATATACATATAGAAATTGCAACAAAGCGAGTACGCAGAACAAGCCATGCAAATGCCTAAGTGTGCGTGCGAGTGTACAAAATGGCGGCAAAAGACGCGCAGTGCATGCAAGCAATTGAGTTTTATATTGTCACGAATGTGGGAAGATGAAGACAGCAGCATGATGAATGATATATATATATGTCTGTCTGTCTCTGCCTGTGTGCTTATAAAATGTGAATAAATAGGAATAATTTAATGACAGTTAATGTGCCTTTTAAATAAGCCAAAGCAAACAGAACTTGCAGTTGATAAAACTATATATACACATGCATACATATATGTGCATGTATGTATGTATGTGTATACCTAGAGTAGTTCAAGCAACTGTCACTTGGCTCAAGCAAAAGCACAGAGTGACAGCAGGTCAAGGCAGCAACAAAGAAGGACACAGAGATAGATAGAGAGAGAGAGAGAGAGAGAGAGAGAGAGAGAGCTAGCGACAGATAGATAAGACCGGAGAAGAAAATTCTGTGCATTCCAAGCCGTAGCAACGGCAAACAAAAGGTGTGCTGCTCTTAATTTAATTAGAGTTTGCGTGCCGTTAGCTTTTGCTAGCTTAAATTACTTGAATTGCGCCATAGGCATAAGGATGTCCCGCTGCCAGAGCCAAGATGCGGATCTAATGGTCTGGAAATAGCATTTGCCAGTTTTCACAAAACAACAACAGCAACAGCAGCAACGTCGCCTTCATGAATTTCATTTCATTTAACACAATTTCATTTAAGTAAATAAAACTTAAATAAATATATATACAGTACATAGAGAGACAGAGAGAGAGAGAGACAGTGAGTGCGACTGCCTGAATGTACGTATACATAATAAATGCAGCATTAAATTGCAGCTTAAAAAACCTCGAATGAAAATGAGTTAATGCGTATTTTTTGTTTTTTTTTTTTTTTCTCATTTTTTTCGCTCATTTTTACTTATTTCTGCATTCAGACGAATGCAAATGGTTGTAATGTTAAATGAGTCACAAAATTGGTATACAACACAGGATTTTGGCTTAACAAAATTAATTTCAACTCAGCGATAAGCGCAGCACGAACACATTCCAAATGCCACGGCATGACAGCGTTTGCAAAATGCCTCGCGCCACGGGTCGTATGAGTAACGTAATTATTACATAATTATAATGGTCGAGTGCGGAGTGAGAGAGGAGTGAGGGAGAGGAAAGGGAGTAATGGGAGTAACGGGAAATGGGTATTACCACCAGCTCTTGACCTTGTGCAGCACTGTCTTAAACACGGGCACCTTCACCGGGAAGGGCTTGGGCACCTTGATGGGCAGATACTTGATGACCGTGTAGGGCACACGCTTCTCCACGGGCACGGGCACGTGCTTCTCGACGGGCACGGGCACCAGGCGCTCCACCGGCACCTTCAGCTCCTTCTCGACGGCGACCTGCACCTGCTTGGTGATGGGTATGTGGATGGGCACGGGCTTCTTGATCGGTATGATGACGGCATGGGAGATCGGAATTTTGACAGGCTTCTCGACGGGCACATGCTGTGTCTTGACATGCTTCACCGGCACATAGTTGATGATATCCACGTGATGGTGGTGCTGCTGCTGCTGGCCGTGGCTGTCTTCGTGAGCACTGGAGTCGGCCAGGAAATTGCCGGCGTGCTCATCGTCCTCTGATTGCTGCTCGTAGTCGGCCGGGCCGCTGCCCGCTGAGTCCGATCCGGCTGATGGCTCGCTCTCGGTCTCGTGAGGTGTGAAATAGGATGCGTGCTCCAACAGCTGTTGCTGGTGCTGCTGCTGCTGCTGCTGGTGCTGCTGCTCCTCGGCATGGTGCTGCTGGAATGCGTCGTAGCCAGAATTCAGAAAATTCCCCACCGACATTTTGTCGTAGGCGTAATGGCCGCCGCCCGCCTCCTGCGCCGCCTGCTGCTGGTAGTGCGCCACCGATGAGGGCGTCCACGCCCCATGCTCGGCTCCACTGAAGGCCGGCAGATAGCCAGCCGCATGCTCAGCACCAGCAGCTGGAAAATTGTAAATCGCCGAGTGCTGGCCGCTGCGACCCGCCTCCGCATCGCCGTAATCGCTGGCTGACGCCGCCAGCGCCGCAACGGCCGCATCCTCGTGCTGCTCCTCATAAATTGGTATCTCTTGTTTTGACGAGGCGGCTGCCAAGGCTTCGGTGTGCGTGGGCGCCACTGAGGCATAGCCGTTGCTAATGTGTCCCAGGCCCGAGAGATTTGTGAGCCCATTAAGCACAGCTCCCACACCGCCACCACCGCCCCCGCCGTGTCCGCCCAAACTAGACGAATCGCTCCTATAGCTACGGCGCTCGCCCGCCGCCCCATCGTACCGCAAGCCGTAGCGCTGCAACATAGCCGACATGGATGACACGGCCTCCTTCTCGCCCATTGGCCGCCAACGATTATCGTAGTGCCTGGCACCGCCTGTGCTGCCATAACTGCCGTAAAGCGCTGTCTGGGCTCCAGCTGGCATTGATGAAGCTTTCGTCGACGCTGTCCCTGTGGTCGGCGGCACGGCAATCCACACAATTGCAGCGGCCACAAATAGCGGCATCTGCGGAAGGGACGCTTAGTTTAAGTCCATGAAAATTATTTTAGCAAGTAAAAGAGTTCGAGTCGAGTGGGTCCGACTAGCAGATACCGTGCATAGGCATGCCATATACAATTATGTGTGCATATACATACTATAAATAGCACATATGAGGGTATGTATTGGGCCCAGTTGTTCTTAGTGCTTCACTTTATGTGGAATAGACTCATTGAACTTGGATTCTAGTAGTCCGATCTTGAGGAACTTTTCAGAGCATGAATATGATATCCAATAGGGAGTGTGTCCCAAATTTCAAAACTCTGTCATTTATGTAATAGGAAGTGCTATCCAAAATTTGATTATTTTACAGTCTTAAAATGACTTTCGAGAGACTACATGTCAAAATTACTTCCTCGAGCCCCAATGATTCTAATCAATATTTATCGATAACTATGGAATGGGATGATCTATGTGAAGAAAATAAGAATCTTAAGATTCTTTGAGTGTCTAAGATTATATATTTACAAATTTCAGGCTCTAGCTTTTGTAGTTCTCGAGATCGATCCATTTATTCTGGCGGACAAACGAATATTCAGGGAAACGGACGGAAAGAGCTATGCAGTTCATGCACCTACACAAGAATGTATATACTTTTAAACCCCTATCACATTGTCTGTTGCAATATACCCTATTGCGTTTTCCAATGCTCACAGGGCATAAAAGGAAAACTCCTTTGATGCAAAGTGCTGGAAAATTGCGCGAGAATAGCAAAAGCGACAACGCGCGAGCGCCTCTTTGACTAATGCATTCTTAATAAGCACCAAGAGATTAACAATTATTGTCCACAATAAAAAGCACTTGCACTTGCCACTTGCCACTTGCTGCTTGCCACTTGCCTCTTGCCACTCGTCTCTTCACTGTTTCCGCTCACTGGACTCACCTTAATGTTGTTGGCCATTTGGCTTGGATTTAGGCTTAGACTCGAAGTAGTCCTCGGGTTACTTGGCAGCAGACCTCGTTGGCTGCACGGCTGCAATGGAAGTGTCTGCAGTTTGAATGCGGCTCGCGCTTTTATACCACAGTTTGGCGCCACTAGGACAACAGCTTCCAATGTTTTTCCTATTACACAATCTGCAATCTCAGCGGCGCAATTTCGCAGTCGCTGTTGTTGTTTGTAGAAGGCGGCCGACGCCGCCGACGTCGTGCAGGTGAGCCAAAGTGAGTGTCTTTCATTTGTTGACCTGCCCGTTTCTTGAGGCCTCTCGCTCGCTCCCACTGCAGTGGGCCCACGAGGAAAACCGTAATGGCATAGCATTTGATATTGCTATTTCCAATTTCGCGCCCATTTCTCTCTCTCTCTCTCTCTCTCTCTATCTATCTCCCTCTCTCACGCGATCTCTTTCACTGGGCATTTATGAATTAAGTTACGCGATCAATTCAAAGCTGCCAAAAACCGGCTGAGCCATAACAAAACGACAATCGCACTCGGCTAAACAATAAAGTTCAAAGTCATTTTCCATTTGCCACGGCAGGCGAATGCTAGGAAAAGCTGCGGCGGCACGCGCCAATTTTTAATAGCGAACTGCTCAGCGCACTCCAGCCACGATCACGATTTGCCCGACTGCTCCGACTGCCTCAGCGTGGCCTTCATAATCAAAACAAACTTGCACTCGTTCAAAGTCGTCATCGTTGTCATCATATGCAAAGCCAAGACGACGGCAGACAGCGGACAACCGTCAGTCCATAGTCCACGGTCCACAGTCGACAGCTGAGCCCAGCTGAAAAGTTGTTTGGCCAGCCGCCAGCAGCCAGCGAGCGACTCCTATTGGACTATTACAGACAAAAGCTGATTGCTGTGACTGACAAAAGCTGCCCGCTGGGCATTGCATGGCCGAGCCGTGGGCTGGCATAGAAGCCGACGTCTGTCTGAGATAAACAGATGGAGAGATGGGCATGGTTAGATATGGGCCGGATTAACAACTAGGCAGACTTGCCTGGGGCCCCTGCTAAATAAGAGTCAATAAACATTTTCTTACAAACAGAAAGCTCCAGAGAGTCAAAGAAAAAGGAGGAAAGAGGCGTGAAAAAAAAATTATGATTGCCTAAAGCCTAGTTGAGGCTTAATCCGTCCCTTAGATAGATCTCCATAAGCTATTATAATTTTAATTAAAAATATATTTTGTAAAACTTTAATTCAAGTATTGGAATATTATTTGTATAATTATATATTCTAATAATTATATATTGTATTTATAAATTTAAATATGAATATGTACTTCCCAAGCTTGGCCTCACTTTCTTTTGCCTTTTACAGGCAATCAGGCATAAACAGTTAGGTGACCAAGTATGACTAATAGGAAAAGCAATTGCAATAAAAACATAAAACAATTGAGATATTAAATTTTTGTTAAAATTTATTTTTAGGCTATATTTATGGCATTTTATATTAAATGATACACCATTTAAATGACTGTAAAATTGAATATAGCTCAGTTCAATATGTTAAATCTGCGCCCATGGCCAATTGATCGGCTGATCGCCGCAAATCGATTGTTTTCCTCCTGCTTTAATACAAGCCATTACGACGCTTATATCTTTTTCAATTCGTGCCAATCTCCGCCTGGATTATTGATCATAATTCATAAATGTGCACTCATGCTTAAACTCTGCAATTGTGCAACGAATGGGTTAGGCACAGAAGCCGTGACCTATATCACGATCAGATGTTTCGGTATTTGTTTCTATCATATCCATCTTTCTTTATCCTATATTTCCGGTAACTTAAGCAACTGTCGATATATTATTATCGGAAATAGCTTTGCTCTTGCTTGGCTAGTCAATGCAGTCGAAGTGCATTTGGCTCAGGCTGACAAAAAGCTGGCTGCTGCGGCTGACAAAAAGCTGCCTGCTGCGTTCGCGCACAAACTGAAGCTGAAACATTGTAAAACGTTAATTTGCATTGTCTCAGCAAACGCTGGCAACTGCTTTGCATTTACTTTGTGCAAATGTCCAAAAAAAGGTTAATTTTAATTGTTTTACGTCGCTTTTCTTTTGTTTTTGTTTTTTTTTTCTTTTGCTACTTTTGGTCATTTGGCCATTGTTCAGTTTATGGGCCAAGCCAGAGAGCGAGAGAGAGAGCAAGGGGCGCGGCCATAAAAAAGTGAACGCCTTTTAAGTGCACCTGCAGACATGATGCTGCTGATTATATTTTACTTGCCAAGCGTAACAGCTCGTTAGTATTTTCAAGTGATTTCCACTTATTTTCTTTGCCCCAGCCTCAGCGCCACTTCAAAAAACGAAGGCGAAGGCAAAGGCGAAGGCGAAGGTAAGCGGGCCAAAAAGGAAGTGTACTGATTTGAAAGGAAACAAACATTTCGGTAACCTCGCTGACTGCCCAAGATATTTCTTTCTCTCTTTCTTTCCACTGGCCTCTCTCATTTCTTATTTTGTAAGTTTCTTTCTGCTTGTTTTTTGCTTTTTGTTTTTGGTTTTTAGCTGGAAGCCTTGGCTGCTGACTTTTATTTTTTTATCGCAATTTACGCTTACTTCATTTCAATTACAATTACATGATTTCTTTCTATAGTCTGGTTGTGCAATTTAATGGAAGTAAATGCAGAAATTGTTCCCCCAAATGATGCAACGCAGGTCAAGCTTTAAATTTTATTTATGTCCAAGCAGAAATGAGATGACATCTTCGCTTGTCACACAAAAAGCATCGCAGCTGCGGAATGAATGGAATTTGCAACCTGTGAAGATCTATTGCCTTCTCTTTCCCTCCTTTAACTTGGGAGCATGTGCAGATTTCGTTCACAGAAAAAATGCTTCAGGTAATATCATTCATAAATATTCAGAATATATTAAATATTCAGTACATAGCTTAACTCGGGCTTTCTCTAGACAAGGCACAGGCCAAATCCAATATTTCAATTAATAAATTTTGCATAGTAACTAAGAATATGAAATGCAGTTTAAAATTGAAATAAATTAGAGGCTTAGCAATTTCTAATTAATTTCTAATTAAATCTTAATTAATTGAGTTAAGCGCATTTTGCTATCTACATATACAAAAGAGACACTTGACACTAAAACCCAAAGTATTTAAATATTGAGTATGTGATATAACACATAAGTAAGGCTGCTCCCAGTCTAAGGTGCCAGACGAATAGATTTCAGAAATATCCTGAACAATTTCAACTTCAAATTGAATAATATTACAATATAATAATAATACAAAAATCCGACATTCCAATATAAGCAAAAATAACTTTCTATGCATCTCTTTCATAAGGAATGCAGCTGCGGTATTTGATATGTGAAGCTCTAGCTATCTCTCTAAACTTCTATACAGAAATATATTTGGGATTTTAATAGAATTTCACAAAAAGGATGAAACTTGTTAATTCCATTAAGCAAACTTAATCTGCGCAATGGAGCAGCACACATGAAGAGACGAAATACATACAGCAAACATGTGAACAGACGGACATATAGACAGATGGGCAGACGAGTGAATGGACTGGACAGAGTTAAACACACACAAATAGACAGGCAGACAGATAGACAGACAGACAAATTGGCAGATCATACAAGCAAGCAAATGAAACGGAAGGATGTACGAAAAAAGAAACAGACAGGTGCTTCAGGCATACAGAAACAGAAGCAGACAGACAAACAGACAGACAGACAAATAGACAGAAGATCAGACAGGTGGAAGAGACGGCATAGAGAGATGTGGAGAGAATGGATGGATGGATGCAGATAGGAAAGTCAATGCAGAGACAGACATATAAACAAAAGATCAGACAGGTGATGATGGGACGGCCAGACGGATATACAGAGAGATGCGGAGAATAAAAAAATGAGTGAACAAAGAAAAACATGGAATGACATGGTAAAATCGACAGACATGTTGACAGAACATTATATAGGCAGGCAAACAGAAAGAGGGAAGGGTAGACGGCTATAGATGTCTTTGATCTGACCAAAAATGCCATCTCTTATGGGCTATTATCTCACCTTGAATGCCCTAAGAATCAGCTGTTGACTGTATTCAGTTAATGTGAATCCTTCCTTCCCCCATTAGCAGCCCCTTAGCACAACAATTCATACAATGTGATTCAAAGTTAATAATAAACTCTCACAATTCCGTTATTGCGCTCGGTGTGTGGAAGTGCTCAAGGAGAGTGCAAGGAATCCTGCCAAAGATTATTTTTATCTGGCAATCAGTTAGCAGCGCAGTTCGACCATCAAAGATACATAAGCTCACAACAGAAACAACAGCAACAGCAACAAGAACAAAATAACAAGCATGCAACAAATGGAATTCATAAATGAAAAGAGGAAGCTGAAACAAATAGTAAAATGCTTTGGGAATATTTCTGTCGTTGCCTTTGAAACGATTTGAAGCGAAATTCTATAAAACGCTGTGCAATATTTTTATTTTCGCTCAATGCTGCATATTTCAAGGGATATACATACATATGTATAAACATCTATATCTATATCCATATTGTGCGAGTGTGTGTGTGTGTGTGTATTTGAAATACTCGTGTAAAGGGCGTTTGCATTTGTTTTTATTCATTCAAATTTTTGCTGTTGTTTATTGTAGTCGCTGCAAAGCATTTGTAAATTTGTAACGCATAAAGGATGCGAAGACAAAGAACAGCCAGCAAATACACAAAAATGGAAGCGAAAAGGAAACAAAGTAATATCTAAACAAGTTTGAGTGCGCCGAACGGCCATGCACGACTAGCTGATGCCCTTCATATGCCTTGAATGAAGCTGAAGTATGGGAATATTCACACCTACTACATGTATATAGCAACACCTCTATTGCCCTTGCTTGCCCTTGTCACTGCTACCCAATTATGACTGAAACTGACTGATTGAACTTGGATTCTAGCTGTGCGATCTCAATGAAATTTTCTGACCATGATTATAATAGAAAAATGTGTGAGTGTGTGTGTGTGTAACAAAGATCATGTATCTACTATCCAATTTTGCAGAATGCACTGGAATTAATACTATACACACCTCGTTTCTATTCACTCCTTTCATCAGCCCTATTTTCAATGGGATCTCGAGTGCAGGGAATAAAAAACGCGCAGCCTGCCGCGTCATAAATATTTTCTATTTCCACAATATTTACCGACATACATAGACTGCAGGCTCTTTGAGGGCATTACACATACATCTACATCTTCATCTATGTATGTTTCTGTATATGTATAAGTATTTAGCGCGAATTAGCAGAAGGCCCTAGTCAAGTCCCCTAGGCTTAGCAACGAGCTGCGAGCTGCGAGCTGCGAGCATTCG